GGCATACTAGTTTTAGTATTTGACTGTAAAGAAAAACACGATTGCATGACTAGAGTATGAACAGCAGAGCAAGCCCCCATCTGCAGTAGAGCTGAAACAGTAGTGTATTGGGGTGTCAGCTCTGGGATCCATTGTAGTGAAGGTCACTGCCAGTGGAGGATGTGACTTGCACAATTTTGAGAATTGTCAGTGTTTCTGAGTGAAAAAATCTTACCTGATGGAGAGAATAAGTTGTCCCAGTTTTCTCTCCTGCTCTGCAAGTTATGCTGACCCTGGTGATAGGGAAGGATTGTGCTATGTAGGGGAGGAGATGAGTGTAACTCCAGATGGTGAGTGGCACCCCAATTATACTTACAATTGCCTTAATCAAGTCTAAACAAAGAGAGGGACATTTGTGCACATTTGCTCTGACGAGCTGTGCCAAAACAATCATTGCTCTGTGGGGAGTTAGAGATCAGGCAAAATTCCGCATTTCAGCTGTGTTATGTGATCCAGAACTGAGGTTGATTACCTCCAGATTTATGGCCACTGACCCGAAATACCTAGATGACCTTTTTGGTATGCCCTTTGGGCATGTACCGCAGCTGGTCTGGGATCCTGATTAAACAGCACTTTCTAGGTTAGGCTGGTTAGCTGGTGAGTTTTTGCCAAGTAGAGTTCTGAGTGATGAATGCTTTCTGCTTTTGGCTTAGTCCAGACAAGAATTTTAGATTCCTCTTCCTTACCTTACTGCCAAATTTTCCTTAACAATCTTCTGGTCATGCTCCACCCCCGCCACCCCTGCTTTTTTTTTTTTTTTTTTAAAATGTTTTTGGTAGAAACTGGCCAGAGAGTTTAGAAGTGCCTGACATTTGGGAAAATGGGGAGGAAGGAACAGAGAAGTAAATACTAAAAGCTGTTATGTAAATCTCACTTCTGTGGGAAACTAGACTACAAAAAGAACTTTGCTCTCAATTCAGTTTGGATCCAGTAGTTAAAGATTACCAGTGAATTGTATGTCCTCCTGTTGTGCTCTGCGAATGGTCATAGTCCACAAGTGTGATGGTTTGTATTTTTTTGGAAAACAGTCAGTGTGATCTGTAAATAAGCTACAGCACTGAAATGGGTTGGGAGTGATGGTTGTTATTGTATAAAGTAGAAAACAGTATGATGAAGAACCTGTCCATATGATGCTTTTCAAGGAAAGTGGGATAAGGCTGCAACAGACTAGATAACCCCCACGTAATCTGTTGCATTGTCTTCCTCTTCTATAATCCTTGAGTGTCAGTGCATAAAGGAAGCAGTAAAAAAAAAAAAAAAAAAAGGATTTTGGAGGGAAGGGGGACTTCATTTTGCAGTGCTCATTTGATCAGATGCTCATGGAGGGTGGGGGTGTCTATCAAATGGATTAATTAGCACAGCGTTACAAAATGAGTGTGGAAAGACACAGTCACAGAGACCCTCGAGGTTTGCTGAGCTTCCTTAATGGGCAAGAAGATTCAGGACACTAAGGCTAGGTGGAAAGCAGAGAAAGAAGGAACAGAGCCTCTTCAAAAGCGCTCTTTACAGCCCTTTGTCCTTCTCTCATGTTTTTTTCCAGTGTCTCTCTGCCTTCTTACTTACTCTTCTTTCTTACTTGCTTTTTGAATTTGCTTTCTTGGTGGAAGAACTGGAAGAATACTAATCCAGCAGTAACTGCATGTTTCTAGCATGTGGGAGGAATATAGCTGAGGAAAGTGAGTGTCTGAAGGTTGTTGTATAGCCAGTTAGTAAATGCAGCTTCCTATCACATGGTAGAGAAGCAGTCTCCTAGTTTTTTTTCCTCTTCTGAATGTGTACTACAAACATCAGGTGTATTTCATGCTGTCATTCCCAATTTACTGCTCTTTTGAATGATGGCTGCTGTTTATCCATACTGAAGTGTTGAGTGAGGTTGGTAAAGATGGTGTGTGCCATAACAGTCCTGGCTCTAAGAACAAGCAAAATTAAATTTATGGGCTCCTTCATTGTTAGCTTTCTCATATCAGTTGAATTTCTGTTGTTAATTTGTTGTTAAAACTATTGCTGCCTCTTGCCCAAGGCATAGTAAAACAAGAGACTACTGTATCATCCTCCAATTATGTACAAAAGCATGCTGATTTAACATGTCTGTATTTGGATAGCTAATATTTTATTTGGCTGTTCTTTTGAGAGTAAGTTTACATTGACAGTCTCCTCTCTAGCCGATGTGTTGTGTGTTTTCTTTTCTAGGTAGTTATCACAGATTTAAGTCTTCTGTGCTTCAGTGAATTCTTGACACAGGCAGTGGAAACTAATATTAATATTAAAAGCATGAGGTTTAACATGTTGGACCAAGCAATCTTTCGTCCAAGGACCAAGCCAAGGCCAGTAGTGTGACCACCTTTAGAAAAACTAAGCTTAGGGAATCTGTTGGTGTGATTCAAACAGCAAAACTAATGGCACAGAGTGAGTCTCAGACACAACTCTGCCTCCAAGGAAGAGCTTAGCAGTGGTTTACTCTGGTTAATGTAGACACTTATTTTAAGAAGCCAAAGTTGTATCATCAGCAATAAAGAGGTCTTTATGTGCTTTTTAGACAATAGAAGACCACTTCATACAAATCATCCCTAACTTCATCTATCCAGGCCTCTTACGTGCTATATTTTTGTTTGTCTGCCATGACTCAGGATACTGTGTCATGTTAGATGCTTTCCATCTGTATGTTTAGATATTCTTGTTTGGTGAAAGAGGCTTCCTGCTACAACTGGAATTAAGATCATGTATATTTAAATTTCTTGGAAATGCATTTCTCTTTAATGCAAAGATTATAAGACAGCAATAGGTAAGATACATTTCTAGTCTTTCTATGGTAGTTTTCTAATCTTTCTTTAAACCTGTCTTTGGACCTGAAAATATTACTGCTGCTTTCCAGAAATGAAGCTTCATTACATTATAAGTATTACCTTTTTAGTTTTGCTTTTGAACTGTGAGAGTGATAAAGTGAACTGAATCAGTGTCCCCTGTCGTCATCTTCTGCTTTGACTCCACTCTCAGCCCCAGTAAACTACACAGGGCGGAAGCCATATATATATATATATATATTTACACATGTGTGCATATAAATGCATGACAGTAAACCAGAAATGTCAGAAATCTTGGCCTGTATTACAGTTGACAGTTCAATTCCTCCTGGTCCCCTCTGCTTTTATATTTTATTATTCTTGAGTTCAACAAGCTATTTCCCAAAAGGATCCATGATACTTAAAGGTATTTAAACACCTGGATTAACTATGTGGCTTAGTGTGCTTTTCTTACCTTTCACCTCTCAATGACAGAGTACAACACATGGTATGAGTCAAAAGCAATAGTTTCAACCATTTAGTATGACAAACAGGTTCCTGTCAAGAAAGACCTAAAAGTCTACTTTGACAGAAATGGTGTTTCTACTTCAGTTGAATTTATAGAAAAGTCAGCATGGTGACTTTGCCTTTCAACATCATAAATTGACTTAATGTCAAAGTACGTGTTTTGTGACTACTTTTCTTGTCAAGTGGTATTGCCATTTCTTAAGTCCTAATATACCAGGTCAATCTTCTTACTGCACAAACATAGAAAGAACCAAACTCTAAGTGAGCACCAGAAATTGTGTAATTTCTTATGTAAGTAAAAACATTACTTAGCAGTTGGTGCTTTGCCACGTTTTTTCTGCTTTGGTATTCTCAGAACAGATACATGGAGAGACATAACCAAGTCCCACCCTGCAGCTGGACCGTAAGAGAGTTAATGTTGCTTGGAGCTGCATGAAATTTCACAGTCTCAATAGCCTAAAAGCTAGCATCCACAGAGTACAGTTACTCCTTAGTGTTTTCGCTCCCTGGGTTCAGGCTGCCCTTTCCACGCACCTGATAAAGCACTCTAGAAGCAGACACAGTTACATGCATTAATTGAAAGACAAAGAGCAAAGATCTCTGTTACCTGAAAAAAACAGTTGTTTTAAACTAACTTATTTTACTAGTGTATGGGTTTTTCTTGAAAAAAATAGTATATTCTTAATCCAGGTGGAAGGATTGCAGTATGAATGGTTGTTATGCTTAGGACAAGTTTATTTAAAATAAAAACATCTGTCCTATGGTATAAGAACAACGTAGTGATACATTGCAAAAGCAACTGCAGTTCTGATAACCCTGGTTTTATTTGGTTTTACGGTATAGTAAAGATTGAGGTGAAAGTCTTGGCCAGTAGAATGATTCAGTACTGATTTCCTACTGGTATGGTGGATACCTATCTTCTGTTTTCAAGACCTGTTTTATCAGTTCCTGACAAATACAAATTTGGCAGATATGTGGGTTGCAAATTCACTCTGGCATTTCTGGAGATAACCTTGGAAAAAGAGGTTCCTTGTTGTTTTAATTTTCAGACATAACTGTCTCTCCAGCATTTTTGTCCTTCTCTAGTAATAACCTGAAGCTAACAGCAAGCGTATGTCAAATTTTGGGATATCTATTAGAAACTATGAGTGCTGTAAACATACTTTAAGATTTGAAGCCTTACCGTTTCACCTGGATGTGATACAAGCCATGTGTTTGACAAACAGATCCTGTTGGGTTTGTAAAATTTTTTTTTTTTGGTTTTTAAAAGTCTTTTTTTTTTTTTTTTTTTTTTTTTTAAATTGGGACTGAGGGCCTGATCTTAAGTACGTTACAAAGTACAGGTACTTTAATATTTGGTAATGAGCAGTGGGAATTCTTAGTGTACTGTGTCTGTATAATGCTGCTTGGTGAGCTGCCTGCTAAGCTGCAATATGGAATGCTTTGGAAACAGAGTAGTGAAAGAATTGATATTGCGTAGGAGTATTTCTTTAATGAAAACTGTATCGAAAATTAAATATCAGACAGCCAGTCCACTGGTTGCTAAATGAATTGAAGTTTTTACGGCTAGCAGTTTTATGGGCATCATTTTTATGCCTGTGATGGAGTCTAATAATTTAAGACTGTTTCCCTACCTCTCCCTATATCTTGCAGGCATACAGGAGTTTCCAGAAAATATAAAAAACTGTAAAGTCTTGACAGTTGTTGAGGCCAGCGTAAATCCAATTTCAAAGTAAGTTTGTTTTTGTTTTTTATATTTTATATTTTCTGCAAACGCTGCTCAGTCTCAAACTTGCCCCAGGCATGCACCGACCTTTGTAGGCAAGGAGCAGAATTACCTGAGAAGTATCTTAATTAACCTCATTGCACTGTGATACAGTATAGCTATGTCATTAAAGTATTTTGCCCAAGTTAATAGGCTATGTGGGCAATCCTGCATTATACCATGTGGCTTTCTCAGCTTTAAGTCAATTGCTTCTCTGTGAACATAGAAATAAGCAAAGAGTTTTCTTTCATAATAACAATAATTAATTTTACTGTAAAGCCTGTACCACTGTTTTTCAAACTTATGAGTAGATTTCCCTGTCACCTTCAATAGTGACAAAATTAATTTGCCAGAAGTAGCACTGCCAGAGATACAGCCTTTGTTCAACGTAACTCTTCTGGGGAAAAAAGGTGTTACGTAGGTTTTAATTTATCTTATCGTCTCTAATGAATGCCGCCTCCACGTTAGGTGACAGGAGATCACAAATACATAGCAATACTACATTTGTTGTTTGTAGTTTTTATTGCCTGTATATATTGTCCTCAATACTTAAAAATAATTTTGAAACTAATCTTAGAGAACAGGTATCTAGTGCAATTTTGTAGAACTTCTGGTACCACCTTAATTTTAATGTTATCAATATGTAGGACTTCAGTACTATACTGTTGTTTAAGAAAATATGACTTAATGCCCTGGATATAATAGAAACAAAGGCACTACATTATTTCATTTCTATATAGGCTTCCAGATGGATTTTCGCAACTGCTAAACCTGACGCAGCTGTACCTGAATGATGCTTTTCTTGAGTTTTTGCCAGCCAATTTTGGCAGGTAAGTTACATTTGAAACTTAGTATCTACATTTAGTTTTAAATTCATGCAGAGCAGTTTCTGGTGCTTCTAAAGCAAAGTGTGAACTGGAGGAGGGGAAGAAGTGTACATTACCAATCAATGCATGCCACATATTAGTTACAGAAAAAAAACCCAAATCTGTATCACCATTTTTTAATTGGGCTTTTGAAGGACAGACAGAATGCTTATAAACAGTCAAGAAATCAAACTCATTTACATACTTTCTTCTTTTATGACACAAGTCTGGTAAGTACAGGAGACTAGTATTTCTGAAATATGGGTTGTTTATCATTTAGTAATTGGAGTGAAGCAAATAATGACATCTATAATTCCACTTGTCCTCTCCTGGATGCACAGATTCCTTCATGTGCATCTATAGTTCTTGAGTGCCTTGTTGTGAGGAATCTTTATGAAAGACTTAGTATATTTGACGGTGTGCTGACTAAGCAAAATTGTTCCATGTAATAGCTTAAATATAAGACAAATACAAAATCCTTCCCTCTTCAAAATTGATTCAATCTTGGGAGCAAAAGTGAAAGGATAATGTTAAAAGAAAGACTCCTAGATAAGCATAGTTCATCCTGTTCTCCTTATCATGCTGATGTAACCATTTCTGCTTTTTCTCCCCTCTCTTCATTCTTATATTGCTGTCTCTTTTCTTAGATGGTCAATCTCCTACCCCATCCCATGTCCAGCCAGCCTCTCTTTCAGGAAATATAGCTATTAGTTAACCAGGCATATTGCTGGGTGAAAGCAGTTGTCTTAGGCTGTATGGTTATAGTTGGGTCAGCACAGTTTACAAGAGATTAGAAAAGCTGCCAAGCAGAGTGCTGCAAAAGTCTGGCAGATCAGGAGATGTGCAATGAAAGATGAGCACAGGTGCAATCCATTAGTGACCACTAGTTTATTAGTCATCTGTGATTGGAGTTGTTGGCCTATTCTTCTCTGTCCAGTTATTAGTCATTCCCTGATGAACAATTAAAAGCATCAGATCTGTTACACACTCAGCTAATAAAAAAGCTGCTTATGATGCAGGAGCATTAATTATCATGCTTGTTTCTAGTACACAAAGTTTGCGTTTCAAAAGCCTTCATTAACGTTGAAGAAGAAATATCTCGAAGATGCATATTCTTTACCTGTTGGCATTTTAATGATTGCCTATACATTTTTCTGTTCTGTCTTTTAATAGTCTAAAGAAATGGCAAAATTTTCTTAGTAAAAACCAGGCACTACAGATGAAATGGAAGACGTCAGATTGACACAGCTGGTCTTATGAGTAGTTAATCTTACACATAGTTTTAAAAAAAGCCTCTATAATTTTTTCTTCATCACTGTCTGCTTCTATAATACGTAATGGTTAGGGAAATGGTGAATTCATTAATTACTAACAGCTTAAGAATAAATCAGTTACTGAAGGGAACTTGAAAGCCAGTTCTCCAGTGTAGTGTTTCTCTTAATATCTATGAAGAATTCAGCCTGGGTTTTTAAAATATAAACAGTGACTTGCAGCATCCCAGCTTGGAGCTAAGAGAACGAAACTGAAATAAAGACTTCTCTCATCAGCTGTTCTTAAATAAATTCAAAGTATTTATATAAGTTTACCTGCTAATAATGGCATTGCACAGAATAAATCCTAGTCTACAGGAAGATAACTCTTAGATCAAATAAATTACAAAACAATCAATTGGTAGAACATCATTTCAAAGTAAGGTTCAGACCCCTCTGACATTGAGTACTTCTGTTCTGTAAGTGATCAGACTGCTCTGCCACCTCACAACTTCACAGCTAGGTATAAACACTTGCTAGGGCAGACAGTCTTTTAACTTGTACTTCAGAATATGAGAATACTTTTTTTTTAAAACAAACAAACAAACAAGAAAGCTCTGGTAGAAGCTTTTGGGATATTTAGAGCATTATTGGTTATCCCCATAAAGGACAAGTCTTCAGCTTCTTCCAATTTGGTGCATTAATTGTTTTGTATATGACCTTACAGCTATTACTTTTTATTACATGGGAACATGTGAAGTAACTGAGTTCTGTTGCCTGCTCTTACTGGCAACTATAGCCAGCAATGCCTCTTAAAAACAAAGCCAGTGCCATATTAAAGCTAGCAGGGTTTTTATGCTCCGTGTGTCAGGGTCTCCCAGCAGTTCAGGTTAGAAACCTGGTTTCCCACACCAGTTTCTCTCTGACTGTTCATATTCATTTATTCCACAGTTTAATTGCTGTCATCTCTCATGATTGTTATCCCCCACTCTCTCACCTCCTGGTTTTATAGTGTTCTCATGTCCCTTTTTTAGTTTGTTAAACTAAACAAAATTATGTTTCCCTCTGATATGGCAGGTTTACCTTTGTGCCTGATTATATTAATGTATCTTGGAATGAGTTTCAGGTTGAATCCATCTTCTTTTTGACAGAGGATGACGACATATATAGCTATATTTAGAATTCAAATTGAGATCTCTTCCTGGCTTGTACAGTCTCACAATTATCTTCTTGTTTCTCTTGAAAATGTCTGTGGTTACGCTCTAGTGTTTCACTAGCCCTTTTTGCAGCTGCCTGGTGTTGTTCCCAACATGATCGACTAATGCATTGGACAGCTCAGTTAGAAATGGCTGATGACTCTACAAGGAAATCATGACTACTTGACTTGGTGCTATGTCATCTTGTCCCTTGTCTGTTTTTTTCAGTCCTTAAGGTTGTATAGGTTTTTTTCTTACAGTGCCCTAATAATTCACTCTATTGTCTGTGACTGTCTTTTGTGGCATCAGACAACTTAAACATTTTTCCTGTCCTTTAAGATTGCTGTTAAAAAATATTGAACAGGATAGTACCAAAATGGGTCTTCGAGCACCTCGGTCAGTAACATCCAGCCTGATGCTTAGGAAAGAAAACTTTGTGTAATGCAAACTACTTTTAATACATCCATGCAGCATTTTATTACATTTACGTCCATGCTTTATTCTCGCCTTCAAAATTTGTGCTAAAGCTTTGCATACTCTTGAGGTCAAGATTAGCCAATCTTTTTCCCTCTTCTTTATGAGCATTTCATACTTGCTGTCCTTCAGTGATGTTGTACCAGTCCAGCCTGTTAGACTTATTAAAAATCACCAGACTTTTGATGAAATGTGCCAGTTCCTTGGGAATTCTAAGGTGATAAAGTTGGTTTTTTTTCCTCCACTCCCAGATTCTAATTTGAATGCATTAATGTTGGCACAGATCCCAGAGTTAGCCTTTATGCCAGTGCACAGAAACCTGAGAATTACTTATCCTTACCTAAGAAAACCATATCTGTTGTATCTAAATACATCATGTATGTTTACATTTAAATATACAAATATATAAGCAGAGCATTCTAAACTTGAAGCTCACTGCATGCTGATTTTGAAAGAGAGCTTTAAAAGGTAAACATTATTTACTGATAGGTGTTTAAGATAAGCAAGGAGCTTAGCTTCAGTGTCATTCTAAAAACTCTGAGAATGTTGTCTACAATGGGGTATTGCTTCCAGAAACTTCTTACTGCGATGTTGCAATGAATTTAGTTTTAATCTTCTTTCTCAACAATTTGCCAGTAGTATTTGCAGTAGTAGATATTTTTAGTAGTATCTATTTTGGGATGATTTTTTACATAAATGTACAGTGATAATCAAGTTGGGGACTTAATTTAGTTACATGTATGTAATTTGGCTGAAACTTTTGCAGATGCAACCTGCTATAGGATACATATATTTCAGTCCTCTTGCCTTTCTATTTTAGTTACGATTTAAAGAAAATGTATTCTGCATTAGCAAAACTGCAAAGAAGGTGAAAAATAAAGAACATTTCTTTATGAAATATTTTTAGCTTTTCAAGGAATGACTGCTGTTGAACAGAGAGTTTCTAAGTGTACCTGCGAGATATATTTTTTTTACATTTTTTACAGATTGTATAGTTAAAGAAATCAGATTTAGAAAGAATATTGATCCTATCCTGGCAAGATGTTCATGTAGACATTTTGTTTCATTTAAAAGTTGAGCTACATTTTAAAACCAGGCTAAGTTGTTTATATTAAATAACAATAGTGCAACAATAACTTTGTTGAAACTGTTACACCAGGTATACTTAAAGTTGACTAATACTCTGTTATGGCTTTGTGTTTAGGTGATGTGTAAATATTTCTGTGTTTATTGGTTTTTACAGTTGCGAAATGAAATATTTCCATATGCGTATGACAAATCTTTGTAACAGAATGGCATAGGAAATATGTATTCTGCCACTAAGACTTTTCTTTTTCCTTTAGTATAGGTGGACTAGTTCTCTCTCTATTTATTTTCCAAGTGAAACCCTAGTTTTTCAGTTCCATTATAGCAATTGAGATGCTTAGCATTGCTTAGCTGGTTTACACCAGCAATTTAAAGAGCAGCTAGGCTGAGTATTTGATGTGTATTATTATATTAAACTTGATAATAATTGATAATAATTGTATTAAACTTGATTAAATATATATATATGTAATATATAAATGTATTATTATATTAAACTTGATTAAAATATATTATTATATTAAACTTGAATTAACCCTTCCAGTCATAATGGAAGAAGTGACAGCTGCTTCAGTCCAATATTTCTTATCAATTACAGCAAGAAAATTACTAGTTTAGACACAGCCTGTATCTCCCAGCCAGGAGCGTTGAAAATGTCTCCCTAATAGCCTCTATGTAGCTCTACACATAAGAACTTCAATATTTGTCTCTCCAGTTTCTTAGGGTTAGCTGAAGAAAGAGTGGAACGTGAAACAAGGTCACAAAGCTATGAACCTTTCTACCACCAAAGGCAGTCTAAGTTCAGAGAATTGGTTTACTACAAGCTTAGTGCAGTCAGTGCTGGCTAAGGTCAACAAAATGTTGGCATGCATGTCTATAGTTTCGCATATGAATGGAGGTTTGCTTCTACTGCTTTCAGCTGAGAAACTTGACTGAATACTCGTGTTGTGAAGAAAACCTACAGTGTAACTATTTTCCCAGTCATCAAAGCAAAACACCAGCTGGAGCCTAATGCAGTGTTTGGTTGGTCTTGGGTTCAGAAGTCCAAGCCCAAAATGACCATTCAGATCTGAGGGTGCTTAAACAAACAAGTTTTGTTTTGTCACAAATTGGTATCTTAGGATGCAGGTAGGGTAAGAAGGCTAGGAAATCCTTTCCAGGTATGTCCTAGATTGACAGCAGTGATAGTACCATGAACTGGATTTTTATTAGGGTATTCTTTCAGCACTGTCAGAGTGTTGGTTTTACTTTGAGAGGTTGGAGGGGGAGGAGGTTCCCCTGCAGCAGTTGCTACCAGATGGCAAGTACTGCTTGCAATGCTGGGCTCCATTGACCTCTGATCTGTTTCAAGGTGACTGTTATATTCTTAGGTTATTTGTAGGCACGGCAGATTGCTACTTTCAAATGCATCCAAAAATGAGTGAATGTCTAGAGGAAAAATAAATATTGTTTTCAGCTTTCTATTTTTACTTTAAGTATAGTTCTTACTATTTAATCAAAATCAAGGTTTTTGTCTCTGTCCTTACAACATACTCAGTTAAGCATCTTCAGGAAAGACTGGTCTGTTCACTAAGCTCCTTTTTGAGTCAGGGAGCTTAATGCCTTATTTTGTGTCGTATGAGGGCTGTTAGTGGGTCACATGCAGAACTCTTGTCTTTTCAATCCTGTTTGTATTTAAACCAAACTTAGTTTCTGCATTTCATTTAACAAAGAGATAGTCATGTCACTGCTGTCCTGATGCAAAAAATCCACTGGGGATGGTACATTGCTTGAATGTCAAGACTGCTTTGAACTTATCTTGACCAACCAGTTGAGTTTGGGATTTAGAGGTTATTTATCTAGCAACCAAGGATTTATTGAAAGAAAGGTCAAACTGCCTTCTGACAGAAATATCAAAATGGATTAAGAAGCTGACTAGAAAGAGAAAATGGAAGGAAATCCAAGATGAATTTAAAGGTTTTTTTTACCATGTGGAAGATCACAGGTATTCCTCTGATGAGGCTTGTTATATGAAATGTTTTGATACATTGCCAGTATTAGAAATTCGGCATCTTAACTTGTGCGGACCGATCCTACCTTTCTTCTATTACTTACTGTGTACTTCTGTATATGATGATAACATGTACCCATAATGAATCCAATGAAGTGCTTTAAAATCTCTGGGATGAAGGAAAACAAATGTGTTCAAACAGGTGCAGAAAAGCAGGCAAGATCCAGTTTGTTGGCTGCTTTACCAAAACCAAACCCCAATGAATAAATGAATTTAAAATAGCATGCAGATTTATGCACAAAACGTATTTTCATTCTTACAGAAAAAATATTTCGAACTTGTAGATCTTTTTTTTTTTTAAATGCATCAATATAAATGAGTTCAGAGGTTACTTTTGTCATAAAATACAGTATATTGTGATAATTTGATATGCCTTTCTGTTACAGATTAACTAAACTCCAGATATTGGAACTTAGAGAAAACCAGTTAAAAATATTGCCAAAGTAAGTATGGATGCCATTTATTTAAATTACTTTGGAGGGTTTTTTCTGTAGTTCTACTAATAACACAGTGCATATTGAAAAGTAGATCACAGCTTAAAATGTGTAGCTAAGTAACCGGACTAAGCTCTCACAAGGAACTCTCCCTTCGTACTGCTTAAATTATATCTCCCTTCAGACTGACTGGTCTGCCTATTCAGAGGTTTGCCTATTCAAAGATTTTTTTTCCTGTCCCTGTCCAGCTCTGTGGATTTTGGATCCACTTGTTGAGCATTTAAGTCAGCATGTGAGCACTTCAGGATGATCATTCTGAGATGTCTGATGCTTCTTGCATGCAGTACTGTATGGCTGCCCAGATGCCTGTCTGGGTACGGTTCTGATGGCAGAGTGTCTGAGACGTAGGCTGTGGTAATTAAGATCATTATCTCTAAATCAAATGTGGAGTTTGAGATGCTTGCTCAGAATGACTGAGGGAATGTGATTCACATGACTTGAACACATTTTTCAGTTTAATATACTTTGGGGCTGAAATAAGTAACAACACATTGCTGTGTTGCATGGAATCTGTTATGCCGTCCCTGTTCTATAGTGCAACAGACTCATTTAACATAATGACAGCATATTCCTCAGACAGATTTTTGGTAATAGTAAAATAGTTCTGGAAATTATTAAAGCATTTGTTTTAACAGTAAATCCAGTTGCACCTCTCTCAAAATCTGGCGTCTTTCTAAACCCTGCCTTGCAGTTCTCACTCATTTCATCAAATGATCTCAGGCTGATGGTGTTGCAGTTCCTGCTGTTCCTGTGAGCTGGAGCAATGCTCTGAATTTTCTGACTTGGACCCTGGAGGTCTAAGTGCGTTAACAGAGGTATAAAAGGTCAATGAAAAGAGAAACAGAGATACCAAAGATGGGATGTAAATAACCAGCTCTAGAGTCCTGAATGTGTGGTGGTGCGCTGTAAAAGCGGTCCTCCTCTGGCAACAGAAACTGGTGAAGAGAGGCACTGGTTTTGGTGTAGGTAAGATGTTTTGGTGGAGAAGAGGAGGAACTAACAATTGAATATTCAGTCTGTCCAGCTTATATGCCAGCAGGCTTGCACGCAGTAGGCTGAAGTGTGACTTGCAAGCCCTTCAAATACAACCAGTTTTCTTAGTGACTGTAGCTAATTATATGCCTAAGACATGACCAAGGGGTATGTTCCATTGGAATTCCCTTTCTGCGTGCTTAGATACTGTACTGAGGTGTCTGCTATATAAAGATGCCAGAACTCATATCTGGAATGAAATGTATAGCATCAGAAAGTGTGGATTTAAATCTTCCAAGTGTGAAGCATTCTATTCGTTCATGTGATATAAATACTCTCTATCCTCCTCTGCTCTTTCTGTTATCACTAATTTTCAGCAGAAGAAAATCAGAGGACATGTAATTTGGGGTAGTAGCTCTGTAAATTAAGTTACTCCCAACTGAGGAACAGTAGCTATAATTAAAACTTATAGCTGATACAGATTTTGTTTATAAAATTACTCTGACCTTAATTGCCATAATTAACACTAATGAATTACATGCAATATTTTAAAAAGAGTAGTTTACAGAGGTCTTTTGTAGTGATAAGAGACATTTATACAAATGCTGTAATGTGTTTAAGCCAAACACAACTTCTGTTGAAGTTGCTGGGAATTTTTTTGTTGACTTCAGTGTTTTCAGGGTTTCATCCTTGCTGGAAAACTGAACAGCAGCTGTCGTGAAGATGTCTGTCCCCGTGGGTTAATTAAAGGGGATTAAACCATTGAGACTTTTTTTTTTTTTTTTTTTTTTTTTTTTAATTTAATGGCATTAATGTGCGTTTTGCTACAGTGAGGCACTGGAAACATACATTGTTTATGTAGGATGTACACTGGGGAGAAAAAAATTGTGATGTCCATAGTATGTAACAGGTGAATCTGCCTTTCAGGATAATACAACCATGCAGCTGTTGCCCTGACCTGCACAGGCGTCCATGGCCTGGCTTTAGCTATTACATTAGAACAGAAGCTGATGTGAAACTCGAACTTACACAGTTTTCCAAACCTGAGTATGTGTTTTAAAAGGAACATACTATACAGCTTTAAACCGTGTAGAAAATCTGAAGGATTCTTTTTGAATCATAGAATCATAGAATTGTTAAGGTTGGAGAAGACCCTTAAGATAATCGAGTCCAACCGTTAACCTAACACTGCCAAGTCCACCACTATACCATGTCCTCGAGCACCACATCTATCCGTTCTTTAAATATCTCCAGGGATGGAGACTCAACCACTTCCCTGGGCAGCCTGGTCCAATGCTTGACCACCCTCTCGGTGAAGAAGTTTTTCCTAATATCCAACGTAAACTTCCCCTGCCGC